ATCCCAAACCCCTCCTTTAAAGTGCAGGCATTGTACTTCCCATTTCCAGGACTCAAGTCCGACTATATGAAAATAACTGGTTTCCCTGAATCCCTTCACTAAATATTACCCTGCTCACACTCCAACAGATCGTCAGGTCCCAAGTATCATTCGTCTCCATTCACTCCTATCTAACACGCTCATGCACGCTTGCTGGAAGTCCAAGCCCCTCTCCCACAAAACCTCCTTTACCCCCTCTTTCCAGCCCTTTCGAGGACGACCCCAACCCCTCCGTCCTTCCCCTATAGATTTATATGCTTTCCATGTCATTCTACTTTAATCCATTCTCTCTAAATGACCAAACCACCTCAACAACCCCTCTTCTTCCCTCTGACTAATGCTTTTATTAACTCCACACCTTCTCCTAAGTTCCACACTCCGAATTTTCTGCATAATATTTACACCACACATTGCCCTTAGACAGGACATCTCCACTGCCTCCAACCATCTCCTTGCTGCTGCATTTACCACCCAAGCTTCACATCCATATAAGAGTGTTGGTACTACTATACTTTCATACATTCCCTTCTTTGCCTCCATAGATAACGTTTTTTGACTCCACATATACCTCAGTGCACCACTCACCTTTTTTCCCTCATCAATTCTATGATTAACCTCATCCTTCATAAACCCATCCGCCGACACGTCAACTCCCAAGTATCTGAAAGCATTCACTTCTTCCATACTCTTCCCCAATTTGATATCCAATTTTTCTTTATCTAAATCATTTGATACCCTCATCACCTTACTCTTTTCTATGTTCACTTTCAACTTTCTACCTTTACACACATTCTCAAACTCATCCATTAACCTTTGCAATTTTTCTTAGAATCTCCCATAAGCACAGTATCATCAGCAAACAGTAAACTGTGTCAATTCCCATTTTGAATTTGATTCCCCATAATTTATCCCCACTCCTCTCCCGAACACCCTAGCATTTACTTCTTTTACAACCCCATCTATAAATATATTAAACAACCATGGCGACATTACACATCCCTGTCTAAGACCTACTTTTACCGGGAAGTATTCTCCCTCTCTTCTACACACCCTAACCTGAGCCTCACTATCCTCATAAAAACTCTTAACAGCATTTAGTAACTTACCACCTATTCCATATACTTGCAACATCTGCCACATTGCTCCTCTATCCACTCTATCATATGCCTTTTCTAAATCCATAAATGCAATAAAAACTTCCCTACCTTTATCTAAATACTGTTCACATATATGCTTCAATGTAAACACTTGATCTACACATCCCCTACCCACTCTGAAGCCTCCCTGCTCATCCGCAATCCTACATTCTGTCTTACCTCTAATTCTTTCAATTATAACCCTACCGTATACTTTTCCTGGTATACTCAGTAAACTTATTCCTCTATGATTTTTACAATCTCTTTTGTCTCCTTTCCCTTTATATAAAGGGACTATACATGCTCTCAGCCAATCCCTAGGTACCTTCCCCTCTTTCATACATTTATTAAACAAAAGTACCAACCACTCCAACACTATATCCCCCCCTGCTTTTAACATTTCTGTCATGATCCCATCAGTTCCAGCTGCTTTACCCCCTTTCATTCTACGTAATGCCTCACGTACCTCCACCACACTTACATTCTGCTCTTCTTCACTCCTAAAAGATGGTATACCTCCCTGGCTAGTGCATGAAATTACCGCCTCCCTTAATTCCTCAACATTTAAAAGTTCCTCAGAATATTCTCGCCATCTACCTAATACCTCCCTTTCCCCATCTACTAATTCCCCTACTCTGTTTTTAACTGACAAATCCATACTTTCCCTAGGCTTTCATAACTTGTTTAACTCACTCCAAAATTTTTTCTTATTTTCATTAAAATTTCTTGACCTGGCCTCTCCCACTCTATTATCTGCTCTCCTTTTGCACTCTCTCACCACTCTCTTCACCTTTCTTTTACTCTCCATATACTCTGATATATACTCTGATATATACTCTGATATATACTCTGATATATACTCTGATATATACTCTGATATATACTCTGATATATACTCTGATAATTATACTTGTGTGTACCTGTACCTAAATAAACTTACATACTGTGCTGGCATGCAGATACCTGTTAAAATCACTTAGTGTGTCTTATTAGTCTTGAAGATGCAATAATAATAATAATAATAATAATAATAATAATAATAATAATAATAATAATAATAATAATAATAATACTCACTCTGAGGCACATTAAATATTGTATAATATTATGTTAATATATGCATTTTGATTAATTCATGTGATATTTTTTAAAAATTATATAATAAACATGCTACATAAAATAAACATGATAAATACACTCCACAGTAGAATAAATTGACATAAGTATGAGATGTTTTTCCAGTTGCCTTGTCAGAGTGCTGGAAAGAATGTTTTCTCTAGTTCAACCCCAAAGAAAATGTGTACACAGTGGTATTACTAGGGGTAACTAGAAAATTATTCCTTTCGTATGCCTTCACTTCGAGCGTTTTTTTTTTTTTCAGCAAGTTAGCCGTCTCCCACCGAGGCAGGATGACCCAAAAAGAAAGAAAATCCCCAGAAAGAAAATACTTTCATCATCATTCGACACTTTCACTTCACTCATACATAATCACTGTTTTTGCAGAGGTGCCCAGATGCAACAATTTAGAAGCTCATATAAAGATATATAACATATCCCTCCAGACTGCCAATATCCCAAACCCCTCTTTCAAAGTGCAGGCATTGTACTTCTCATTTCCAGTACTCAAGTCCGACTATATAAAAATAACCGTTATTCCTTCTAAAAATGGTGTGCTACATGAGAATGGGAGTGTTGCTCTTTATTTATTCTACTTTACCAAAGTGGAGACAACTTGTACACAATGTAAGATGTTTGTATTGTGGTACAAGATTCACAGACATGGAAATGAACATTTTTTTTTTTTTTCAACGAACCGGCCGTATCCCACCAAGGCAGGGTGGCCCAAAAAGAAAAACGAAAGTTTCTCTTTTTAAACTTAGTAATTTATACGGGAGAATGGGTTACTAGCCCCATGCTCCCGGCATTTTAGTCGCCTCTTACAACACGCATGGCTTACGGAGGAAGAATTCTGTTCCACTTCCCCATGGAGATAAGAGGAAATAAACAACAACAAGAATTAGAAAGAAAATAGAAGAAAACCCAGAGGGATGTGTATATATACATATATATGCTTGTACATGCATGTGTAGTGTGACCTAAGTGTAAGTAGAAGTAGCAAGACGTACCTGAAATCTTGCATGTTTATGAGACAGAAAAAAGGACACCAGCAATCCTACCATCATGTAAAACAATTACAGGCTTTCGTTTTACACTCACTTGGCAGGACGGTAGTACCTCCCTGGGCGGTTGCTGTCTACCAACCTACTACCTAGATACATGTATGAACATGTATTGACCAAAACCAGATGCATTCGTCTGTTCGTTTACGTACTTTGCGTCTGTCCTCTCTCATTTATTCGTTCTCTCTAGTTTATTCATTTTTATATTGTTTACTCGCCTCTTATCCTACATTACGACTACAAATATTTTGAGGTAAGTAATGAGTGTACTGTATATGCATTTTATTGTTCTAGGGCGCTTTAAATGTCGTAGTACAGTGGACAGTGGAACCCCGGTTTAAGATATTATTTAATTCCAGAAGTATGTTCAGGTGCCATTACTGAACGAATTTGTTCCCATAAGGCATAAGGAATATTGTGAATTAGATTAGCCCATTTCAGGCCCCCAAACATGCACGTACAAACGCACTTACATAAATACACTTACATAATTGGTCGCATTGGGAGCTGATCGTAAAGCGGGGGTTCACTGTATATTACATGTGGGCGGGGTGGCCAGGCGGGCTACCATACTTACCACACCTGTAAACTTGTTATCTAGCATTTTTATACATTTATAAGTGGAAAAAATGGCATTCTGCTTTCCGGCAATGTCTGCTTTTCGGCGGCAGCCTGGAACCTAACCTGCTGTATAAGTGGGGCCCTACTGTACGTCGCAAAGTGAGGAGAGGCGGAAATATCAGTGTTATTGGGGTAAGCACTGAATCTTGTTTTACCCCTACTGATGATATTGTTCCATTAAGATACTACAGTGGAGCCTCGGTATACGACCAGCTCCTTACTCGAACAAAGCTCAACACTCGACTAAACAAATACGACTTGCCAGAACTTCGCTGTAAACTATTTTGTGTTTCTTCGCATTTTTTAGTGTTTTTTGTATTAGTATTTGTATAAATTAGTCATCGTTGGGCCTACGACGATTAGTGGTAGCTGCCAACCAGACAGAAAATTGATTGGGAAGAACTTGTTCGATACTCAGAGCGGCACTTGAACAGCATTCTGGAATGAATTAAGGTTGCATACTGAAGTTTCCACTGTATTTTATTATTATAACTGTTCATGTTCACTTTTCAGACAAAATCTATAATATTTTCATTCCAACTGTGTTTTGTTGTTTCCAGATGAGTCTCATATGAGGCACACACTTGAAACCTTTCTAGAGATCTAAATGGAATCTCCTCATCCATTTCTTGTATAATTGTTTTTTTTTCCTTGGTTGATTAATAGATTTAATTTACATGAATTTGCTGATTGAAAACTAGACTTAAGAATTTACTATAGCTAGTTTTTTTTTTTTTTTAACTCTGTGTTTTATCCACTGTAAGTGATTTTTTCAGTACATATATTTTAAAAAATTAAAAAAATTATCCGCCACTTTCCTCTAATGATATTCCAAAACTTTTGTTGGGGGTTGGGGTGAGGGGTGGTTTTGTAGGGAGTCGTGGTATGCCTGTGGGTGGATGGGTGGGTGTGTTAGGATTTATAGGAAATTTGCTTTGCTATGATAGAATAACTAGAAATAAAAGGGATTTAAAACTTGTTTATATTTTATTAGATGAAATGTTCACATTTGCTCCCTCTGCAGATATGGGACCTGAGTGATCCTGGAGGTAAAGGTTATTTAGATAAAACTGGCCTATTTGTAGCATTAAAGATGGTGGCATTGGTTCAAAATGGCAAAGAACCAAATATGGCCAATATCAACATCCCAACTTCTCTTCCTATTATGGTAATATATTGTGTATTTTTTACTAGAGTGAAGTACAATATAGTAATGTAGTGTAGTTAATGTCAAAAGTAGAAAATCTTTTGAATGTTTGTTGTACGGAACCATTTTTTTTTTTAATGAAATATGCATAAAGCATGCCAGTAAATTTTTGGTGTACTACTTGGGTACACTTCAGTGAAACTTGTATTATCCAGTTTACTACTGCAGGTATATGCAAAATTATGAAGAGCAGTTTTTTGGGTAAAATGTGGTACATCTAGCTTGTGTAATGGATATATTCTGTGCAAAGTCATCTGTATGTTGGTTGTAGTCATTCTGTATTGACCAGTGACCAGATGAAGATGGAATTCCCCTCTGGACTCTGTGAAACAAATATTACTGTACTTGTTTCAGGGTGTTCCTTTACTCTAAGTTTAATATTAGTTATTTTCTGATCAGTACTCTTTCTCTTGTGCATTTTGATTCTTAAAGCACCTGTTGAGGGATTATTAGTGTCATTAACCAGAATATGAACATTTAAGTTATGTAAGTTGACCCACTATAAGAGATTAAGTGTGGCAAGAGTCCTGGCACAACACAAGTGTATTAAGAATTACAATGTATAATGGCTGAAAACTGTGATAAATATCTTAATATGTAGGTTTTTTTTTATCTGCAAATACAGTATCAATGTTTAATTATGTATAAAATGTATAGGAAAATATAATTGAAGTCATGAAGTATGCTTGACCAAACTTTCTAGCCTGTTATTGCCAACCATTAGGGGAATTATATAACTTATTGAAGGTTACTGGAACACCAGATAATACAGGTTTCACTGTACCTGCATTTTTCTGAGTTTTGGTAGATCTTATATTTTTGTGTGTGATTTGGATTTTTCACTAAAAATTTTTAAGTTTCTGGATGTTTTCTGATGTTTGTATCTGCTGTTGAAATACTCATGCTACTTTACATCATCAGCTCATCCTTGCCAATACTACTATGGAGCCAGTGTTTTTACCTTCTGTACTTTATTTATACATACAGTCTTCAGGAGCCTCATTGTGTTCATAACAAGAAAAGTTGACAAACTGATTTGTGTTGATTTTGTATTTTTCCTCCATGTCAGAATGTAATTTTTACTTCAGTAGCTCTTCACAGTATTGCATCAGATGTGTAACCCATTCTCATTTTCCATGACTCCTAGTGTCAATTTCTGAACATTCCTTGCACTCGGAAAAGTTGCTTTGTTTTGTGTTTATTAGTTTATAAATCTGTAAATATGAGTACATTATCTCTGTCCACAGCAGGATTCAAACTTGCACAGTGGAATCCTGCTGTGGACTGAGAGATAATGTTTAAAATTTTGCTCATTTGAAAATTAAGCATAAATATGCATATTTAATCACAATTATGCAAGTCTAAAAAGAATGGTATGACACAGCAGGCAGCACTGTCTCGGTGAACCCTGGCAGTGTTAGTCATCACACATGGTGTGAGGATGGGTTGCATTGTCACTTAACAATTCACTGGACAATGAAAGCATTGTCACTTAATTCACTAGACAGTGAAAGATTGCCTTTCATTGTTTATCAGACTCACTGAAGTTTGGCAAGAAATGAAGGCTCGCCTACTGATGCACATATAATATTCATACTTATATATCAGCATGCATGTATGAAAATTTAAACTGTTTTGCTCCACAGGAAGGTTGTGAATGATTAAATTTAAAATGAATATTGAAAAAACTTATCCTTAAAATCTTAAAGGGAGTCTGTCCTCAGTCGTTTGCATTCCTGAGAGGGGTAAAATGCAGGGGGAGGGGGGAAAGGGAGAGTCAGTTACTGTTGTTACATCTATTCCCATTGAAAAAATAGTGGTGAATGGAGGTAGGTACAACAGAAAAGCCTTTAGAAAGACATAGTAAATATGACTCTGTATTCTCTTACATTTTGTATTTATGGTCCTTTTCATTATGCTCTCTTCCACTTTCCCCTTCCAGTGTGTTAGTTTCTTACCCAATTGAAGATAATTACACAAAATCTCTTGTGTTATTTGCCCCTACAGTCCTGTTTCTCATCATTCTTTACATCTAAGCCAGCAAAATATCTTTGTACTTGCTCTGATTTGCTTCCTTTTAATAGTTTTGGAGCATCCTGTATTTATACAGTTAAATATAATATTTTATGCTTTATGTATCTAATAGATTTCTTAACTCTTAAAATTGGAAACTTCTGTCCTTTATTGACTTTTTTTTATATCCATTCCACTATAAAGCAGTGTCTTTTCTGTAATCTGTGCTGCTTTTACTATACATTTTAAATCTTAATTATCCCTTTGTTATGCACACCCATTTTCCACAAATATTTTATAGTTTTAAGGGAGCGCACAGGTTCACGCGCGCGGAGCAAAAAAAAATTCGAAAAAATATGAAAATGGAGTTATTGTTACCAAAAAATAGCTGAACTTTCTGGCTACACTCTGGTATAATTATTATCCTTGTACGATGTTTCTAAAAGGAATTACAGCCATTTATAACAGGCATGGTGACAGCGCTGACGCGTCATATTGCGTAAGAAGCGCTGACGCGGCTTTGTTTACGTTTTTCCCCCTTGCTATTTTTATCGTTTTCTTATATCTTTGTCTAATATAATACAAATTCACTGTCTGAGATCATGCCCGAGCGGGCGGAGCTAATATGGTCAAGTAACCAGTCAGGTACCCTGGGTATAGTACCCAAAATGGCCGACACCGCCAGCCAACAAAATATTCCATAAATATTCCATACCCACGCTAATATCAATTATAAGGCTTATTTATCTATCACAATTGATCTATTATGACATAATGCAATATAATAATAGCATATAAACATAAAAAGCACACTGTAAAAAATAATATATAGCATAATATGCTGCCCAAGAGGGAAAAATTTCTATCGGTGTATCCCCTGAAGTTTCGTTATCTCTTAAAAGTGATGAGAGAAAACGAATTTACAATTGTTAACTGTAATAAACACTCGTAGGTCACGCAAAAAGTGTAAAATAAAGTGAATTTTTCGGGGAAAAAAATTATTTCCCGGCAGCTGGGGTGCCGCGCGCTTCGGCCTATATCTCGAAAGTAACTTATTTACATATTTAGGGGCACTCCATCTTTATTTATGATTGAATTGACTTGATTTTCACAACAAACATAGAAGAATGATTGCTTTACAAGGTAAAGTGTACCTTTCTGAACTATCCCAAATATTTTTAGATTTATGTGGGCAACAAGACCACATCTTCCAATATGTCAAAAGAGTTATGAAACTTATTTTTTTTAGCATGAAGATAAGGTTTATTTTAGAATAGGTACACTTACAGTGATGGAATTAGAGGTGTTCTATCAGCAGCAAGTGTCAAAACCACTTTTCCAAGTACCACTGAGAAGGACTCCCCTGCCAAATGCAATTTTTCGTAAATTTTGCATATTTCATTTCTTTTTGGCCGATATGATTGAAACTTCAGCACAGGATACTCGATATAAGCTTCTAATAGTACACCAAAAATGAACGTAATCGGTTGAAAAATAAAGAAGTCTATATGTTTCACCTGTGCTCACCCATCATTCTTATAATAGCTGTCATGCCAGAAGTGCAAAGACATCACAATTCAAAATGACCCTCTGAACTGTAATATCCCTACCCCTCCTTCAGTGCAGGCACTGTACGTACCACCTAAAGGTCTCTAGTTCAGCTGACTGCTTTCCCTGAATCCCTTCATAAGTGTTATCTTGCTTACACTTCAACAGTACACCATATCCCTAAAACCACTTGGCTCCACTCACTGTGATCTAACATGCACATACACCTGCTGGATGCTCAAGCCCAAATCACTTAGCCTCTTTTTCACACCCTCCTATCCTTCCTGAGACATTGCCAAACATTGAGATAGAGGTATGAGAATTTTAGAGAGAATATTTTAAGTCCATTATGTTTTTTATTGGGAATGCCTGATGTAAATAATATATTTGGTGACAAAATTGAATTTTGAGGAGGTTTTTAAATAGGCTATACATGTTTGAAGATGAAAATTAAAATAGTACAGCAGACCCTTGCTTAACAACCTAGATGGTTCATTCAGCAAATCTCTCTCTCTTTCCATAGAAGCCTTTGTTATAACTCGAGATGGGGACCAGGACAATAATAATCTATATATTTATTGTTATTTTAAATGATGAAATTTAAAATATATGTACTCATCAGAGATGGGTCTATTGTTTTGTAGACATAATGGTGTTAACCCCCATTTTAAAAGTGCATGACAAACAGTGTGAAGAATTAGACAAGGTCTGATAATGGTAGGAGAGGAAGGATGTCATACTGGATACTATTCTTTCCAGAATTTTAATATTTTTCCTTCACTAGAGGTGGGCCTGTTATTTAGTAGGGGGATAGTGGTGTTATACCTCCTGTTTTATGAGTGTGTAGCAAAAATTACAAAAAATTGGCCAAAATATTGATAGAAGTATCACATTGTGTTACAGTGACTTAAGGGCCATCACAGCCTTTAAACCCAACAATAAAAGAAATATGATGTGATACCTTCTCTCAATATTTTGATAATTTTTTTAATAATTTTTATTATGCACTCATGGAATGGGATAGTATAACACCACTTTTCCTCTATTAAACAATGAACCCATCTCTGAAGGAAGGGAGGAGTGTTGGGAAGTACAGTATGTAATATGACATGACTTTTCTGATAGACGAGTTGAAAATGTTCCTTTGATAGACTTCACAGTGTGGTAGAAGATGGTGGCTTGTTGGAGAGGTGTGGTATGAGTGTTTGCTTTGACTGTTACCACCAGTACCATATTGCCGACTACTTCCCTCATGGGTGTGTAGGTGTCAGCAAACACTGCCAGAATCTCTAGTTACCATAGACAGTTATAGACTACAACTTACAATGTATTAAAGATACTGAGGACATCAAACTGCAAAAATGAAAGAACAGTGAAGGGGCCGGTAGTTAGATCAGTACATTTGCCAATATCCCTGCCAGTAAACTCTATTATTGCCCTCTCAGTTTTACAAACCCTAGTTTGTTTTGAGTCATTTTTGTCTTTAACATTTAAGTGTCTGTTCTGTTTGTTTCAAGGGTGAACCACCACCACATCCACCCCCACCTACTAAACCCCCACAACCCCAACAAGCATCTGTTGGGGGTGTGTGGACAATAACTCCTGCAGACCGGGCGCGCTATGACCAAATATTTAATTCTTTGGGACCAGAGGCAAATAAACTTCATGGCAATAAGGTAAATTAGTATAATTTATGATCTGAATCTTTAAGATGTTATCATGAATTATTGAAAAGCTTTGATCAGTAAAATTTTGCATTTTTTTTAGAATTTTAAGAATTCGAAGCTGTGCCAATGACTTGTTTTTCTGTCTAATGTATTTATTCTTTTGACTCCCAAAGGTTAGAAGTGTTATGCTCAATTCTAAGCTTCCCATGGAAACGCTGGGCAAGATTTGGGATTTATCAGATATGGATAAAGATGGTTCACTTGACCGAGTTGAGTTTTCCCTCGTAAGTATTACTAGATACCCTTGGTGAGGATACCTTAGGTATTTTTTCATAGACTGTTCTGTATTGATTGAAAATTTTAAACTTATTCATGAAACAAATTAACTTTTTTTTTTTTTTTTTTTTAACGTTTTGGGAACCAATTTTTCATGGGAAGGGGAATGATTTTGCAGTGCTGGGATAGAGTTGAATTACTGAATTTATCCCTCCTACATCCCTAGTACAATGTGTTGTGCAAGTCTTAGAAATTGAAAACTCAGATGTCAGTTTTTTATTGCTTTTTCAAAATTTTCAGAGATCTCTATTTTATAATAGATTAACACTGTACTTTTGAAATGGAAAATAATGTACACTAGACTTGATCTTCGAGTGAGGATCTAATATCAAATACAATATATTCTCACACACACACCCTCTTTGAAGTTAACAAGTATAAATTCATGTGTAGAGAATCTTAAATAGTCAGAATAAAGGCATGTCTAGTAAATTTAGTCTCGATAATCAGAGAACTGAGTGGGACAAAAATAAAAAAATACTGTACGTACAGTGGTCACTTGAGTTAACGATACTTTTGAGTTACAATTTACCCTCATAGAGTTGCTATGAAAAATTGGAGATACAATATACATACGATGATACAACTGTTGTAATTGTGGATAAGAGAGAGATAAGTGAAGGGAGATACAGTGCCTGCAAGTTATATCTGACATTGTGCAAGGTACAATAAAAGTTGTACTTCTGGGGTCTTGGTATGAATTTCCTTAAAACCATGTGTTTTGAGGTTTGAGTTACAATAGTTTTGGGGCTTGATACATCTTCTGGAATGGAATAATATTGGAACTCAAGGTACCACTGTATGGATAAGACATTTCTGGGAAACTGTCCTGAGTACCCAGTGCATGAAAGTAAAGAAATATAGAATTTTTCCCCCAATTTTATACTGAACATTATAAGGATTGTGGCTCTTTTTTTGGCCAAATTAATTTTGTTGTTGTATATGATCATTTGGTGTATGTAGGGTAAGCTTCTATTTTTTTGTACACCTAAGTCAAGAAAGATGGAATTTGCAAAATCGCATAATGAATCTCTGTTTTGTGTACTACTTTAGGATTCACTTTATGCTCTGAGAGCCAGGAATGCACTTGTCTTGTAAAGCAAGGGAGACCCGTATTTACAAATTTAAGAATTTTTCTTAGTGCACATATTTTTATTCAACAGGCAATGCATTTAATATACAAGGTTTTAGAAAACAATCCATTGCCACCGTCTGTACCACAAGAAATGCTGTCCAGTGCACAACGGGCAGGTGTAGCTCAAGGCCCTGTACCAGCACCCCTTGCACCTCCCTCCCAAATACTACCGCAGAATTCCGCAAAACAGCAACCTAACAAGGTAAGTAAAGTGAAGCTAAGTGTAGTGTTTGAATAATCTTGGTAATTTGTATGCTAGCCAACATGCTTAATCCTAAATTTCCAGTTGTCTTTGGAAGGCTTGTTGTGTCTTCAGGTTTTGTATTTTTAATTGTTGTGAATTATCTTTGGTTAATTTCTTAGCTTGTTTGATTTTAGGTTTGGTGAATATTCTTCAGTGTTTCTGTGTAACTTTGAAAGGGTAAGATCTCTCTTACTTTAAATGTACGACTTTATTATAGAGAACACTGCAGCAGAATGAAAACATTATTAAGCCATTTCTCTTGGAGACATAGTTTAGTCTCCAAGCTAAATATAGTTTCTATTCTGCTATCTGTGTGTCTGTATAAGTTTCAGTTTTATAACCTCTTACTCTCAGATGATTTCATGCAGGTAGACATTTAAATATGCAGGTAGGTGGATGTAATTACCTATTTTTAATTACGTATTTGTAGCTACAGGAACACTAGCCAAGTTTGTGAGATTCTGTATTTAGTATAATCTCTTTCATTTCCAGTTTAGTCTGTTTTGTAGAAAACTTTCTTTTATTAAATAAATGCAATCTGCCTATATATTTCTTGAATAATTTCTGTAACTGCCATAGTATCTTTATAGAGATTTAATTTAGTGGGCTATACCGATTGAAAACCAAACTTTGCTAGTTGCTGTTGTTAACTTCATGCCTTCTGCAGTGAAATTGAAATATCTGCTCAGGTTATAATTCTGCAATGGTTCATGTTGGTGACTGATATGAAATATAACAGTGAAAAGACAGGAAAACAGTGTAGGGATAGTTTGCTCAAGGAATGCTGGCACAGCTTGAAAATTCTTGTACACATTTATTAAAATTATAATTAACCCATTCTTTAAGGCTTGGTGTAATAAGCCTTATAGCTTATTCTGTATGTGGTAGAACAAATTCTTCTATCATATATAGACTAAAAATTATGTAAATTGCATGTAATAAAATTGAAAGGAAATATTGTGTCCATTAACTACTCAATCTTGAATTTACTAGTGTACTGTATCAAAGCTGTAATAACACATCTCTGTTCTTTCTTGGTGATATGCAATCTGGAATGGCATTTTATAGTGTTAAGTATGTACTGTAGGAGTACTTTATTGCATAGCACAATTTAGTATTATTTTACAATATAGTTAACAGGAATTTCTTAAGAATAGAATGCAGTCTGAAAAGTGTATAGAATGTGAGAATGCACAAATAGAAACCCTAGTTTGTTGAGGGAAAGTAAGTTTGGTGATGAGTACAAGGGTTAAGAATAGCTCTAAGCGTTTGAAAGCTGTGAATATAAAATAGGCTGCACACACACAATAAGGTTGGAAGATGAGGCAAGACTGCATGTGGGTAGACAGTTTTAATATGGAGGAGCATGCAGTGTATGTGGTATTTTTTTTATTTAGCCATACATTTGCATGGCTTATGACATAGATAATGCAATTTTAAGGGGTGGTGGGAAGATTTTTTTTTTATCACTTCCAGAAATCTTTATAGCTTTGTGTGCTCATGCTTGGTTATTCTATTTTTAATCATTCACATATCCGGGTCCAGGCTTTTACGTTGCCTCTAATACTGCTTCACTGGATGTCATATACTATTATTTCTTTGGTGAATGTTTTGTTACCTTTACAGAGGATTTTATTTTGCTCATAAAAGCATTTATATTATGCCTAAATAAAAATTTTCATGCTTTTTAGGACAACTTAACCTGTGAGGTTGAGGCCATCTCGGAGACTTCTGCAGAAAAAGTTAGTCTAGTTCTACTGTAATATATGAAAGTATCTTCATTATTGGACCAACTTCGATCGTAGTTCTTTTGTAATGTCTTGTGAAAGTATAATTGAAAAATGTATTAGTGATCTGTTGATCTTCTGCACTTAAGTCTTTCAACAGCTCTTCAAATTAGGTCTTACAGATTTTCAATTTGTTCAACACCATTTATTTTATTTGTCTTATTTTACTGCATGAATTAAAACTTTAGAAAATTTATTTTTGCAAGTATGGAAGAACTTGTGTAGTAATCATTGCCTCAATTTTACCTATTCTTAAATTTACCTATATTGTATAAATGAATGCAGTATGCCTGAAATAATTTTTTTTTTATAAAATTATGTGGATAATTCAAGTATGCTGAAAACAGGACATAAATGCATTGCCATTAAAATCACAGAATATCTGCCATATATATTTGTAAATACATGTCACCAGTTATAATTGATAATTATAAGGGTGTGGTACAGCAAGATGTATTTATGCATCTATTTTATTGATGGTATGGTTTTCTAACATTCATACGAGAATGTGGATTATCATCAAATGAAATTTTCTCTCCCATCTTTCTGTCAGCCTTCAGGTCCTCCTCCAGCACCGTGGGTGATTAGTGCAGCAGAGAAGGCCAGATACGATGTTATGTTTCACAATGCTGACCTTGATAAGGATGGCTATGTGAGTGGACAGGAGATTAAAGGGGTCTTTCTTCAGTCTGGCCTCCCACAGATGGTTCTTGCACATATATGGTAAGGGTAAATTAAAATTTATATGATAAGGGTTTATTACGTCTTTGCATGTTTTTTTTTAACACGCTGGTGGTCTCCCACCAAGGCAGGGTGACCCAAGAAAGAAACTTTCACCATCATTCACACTATCACTGTCTTGCCTGAGACCCACACATACGACAGTTTAGATGTCACGCTAATATCCCAAACCCCTCCTTTAGAGTGCAGGCACTGTTCTTCTGACCTCCAGGATTCGACTCCAGCTAGCCGGTTTCCCTGAATCCCTTCAAAAAATGTTACCCTGCTCACACTCCAACATCTTGCCAAGTCCCAAAAACCATTTGTTTCCAATCCTATCTAACATGCTCACACATGCCTGTTGTACGTCCAAGTCCCTTGCACCCACAACCATGAACTAAGCCACGAGTTTATGAGCTTGTTTGGGAATTTTGGGCAAGACAAAAATTTAGTATGAGGTACACAAAGACAGGCAGTCCCTGCTTGAGTATTCTCTCTTAAACATTCACTTTACCATGTATGAGATTTGGTTTGGTTAACATTACATTTTTTATTGGTGAATAAGACATCTATAACACCTAGATTTGCTTTCTAGAGGGTACTCTAGTCCACTCCCCAGTCACCCCTCAGCTGTCAAATAAAGAGAAAAGATTAGCTAAGGAAATGGCATTTTAAAGTTAAATGAAATCATGTACTTAACATAAAAATAGCATTGTTAAAATGTTTGTTAATAAACTACATTCCTAGGCTTATTTAAACTGTTATATTTTTATTGACTATTTATTTGAAATATTACAACTAATAATACTCGTTATATGTTCCCCTTTGTAAAACTACATTGACATATTAACGGTTCATGGAAATGGCTGTTTATATTGCAGTCATTCCTGACTTTCTAATTATTGTTTATAGTTAACCTGTGGCTTGGTTGACAGTGCACTCTGCTCAGATACTGAGTGTCCATGGTTTTATCCCCAGCATGGGGGAATATGTTTGGCAGATTTACTTACACCTGCCCCTGTTCACCTAGTAATAAGTACCTGGGTATTAGTTGCATACTGCAGGAGGGGGGAGGGAGAGTAGTATACCTTAGGTAGGGCTAGACTTTAAAATGAGAAATGTTGGATACCACCTCTTACTTAGCCTGTAAAAATTGATGTTTAAAAATATAAAAAAAAAAATTCTGCAGCTGCTGGATTAGCCAGACCTTAAGTAAGTTGCTGCAGTCCAGTGTCTTCCTGAACTTTGTAAATTTTTTTTGTCAGGAATTTGTGTGATATGAAGCAGACTGGAAAGTTAACTTCAGAGCAATTTGCTCTGGCGATGTGGTTCATTCAGCAGAAGCTAGCGGGTACTGACCCACCAGCAGCCCTCACGCCAGAGATGATACCCCCCACAATGAGACCCAAGCCCTCTGCAGAGTCAACTGTGAGTTTTGTTTCTTGACCTCTTCAGTGTGTTCTGGGTTATATAGTTATTTTCCATTCAGAATTCTTCAAAATTTAGAGAGTATACTTTTAATTGTGAATTATGCTGAATAGAAAATTATGTATGATTCTGTAATTCAGATTCCTTCCAAACCAGAAAATTTTTCTAAATTTTGAAATTTTAATGATTCTCTGAAATATATATTCTCAGTCTTGGGCATTCATTTTACATTTTTCTTATGTGTATTAGGTAGTCTTTGAGGCATTTCATTCCACCCACAAATTATCGAAGCTCATTTTTCTTTTGCGTGTCTAACGAAGAGGATGTCCCGTTTAAATGTTTTTCACAAAGAAGGCACAAATGGTGGGGCGACATAAATAGTGAAACACATTGACCATCATTCATTCAGTCTGTCTTGCCAGAAGTGTGTTGACATCACAATTCAATTACCCTCTGATTGCAGCATCCCTATCACTCCTTCAGAATGCAGGCACTGCCCTTCCCACCTCTGGAACTGAAGTCTGGCTAACATTACAGTGTAACTGAGTCCCTTCATAATTGTTGCTAACATTCCAATTGCACGTCCATTAAAACCCTATTTTTCTCCATTCCTATCCAGTATCTTTATACAAGCCTGTTGGATGCTCAAGCCCCTGCTGTTCAAAGCCTTCCTTACCTCTTCCCTCCAGTCATTCCTGGGACGATCTCTACTATCTTCCACTGCAGATTTATACACCCTTTGTCATCTTATCCCTCTCTCTTCTCTATATGCCCAAACCATTTCTAACAACTTCTCGACCCTATGAATTATACCCTTGGTGATCCCACATCACCTTTTAATTTCTAAACAATTTTCTGCATGATATTCACACTGTATGTTGCTCTCAAATATTTTGGGTTCATGTGCTCTTGAAAAAATAAGTTAAAATCTAATTTTCCATTTGATCATATTTTTCAGATAGTGCCATCTAAACCTCAGTATAGTAATCCTGAACTTCAACTTGTTGCTGATGAGATTGAAGAACTGAATGCTGACAAGCTCAAATTGGAGTCGGAGATTCAGCAGAAGGAAGCAAGCATTAGAGTTAAAAATAATGAGTTGAAAAACTTACAGGTAAATGTTTTCATGTACACTAAATATGTGGATTGTAGTAGAGTTCAGATTAATTTTCAGCACTTTATCAGGCATCACTTAAAATCCTCTTGCTGCCTCATGTGCTACTCTGTAATTTCACATACAATATGGCAATAAGTAATGTAAATTTTTTCACACAATTATAGTATATACAATGAATTTAAATACTTGGTAGTTTTAAATAATTTTTTGTTTTTTGTTTTGCATCTTTTAGACTGAACTAGATACACTGATGTCGACGTTACGGCAGTTAGAGCATCAAAAAGGTGCAGCTCAACTGCGGCTAGATGACCTTGGGAACCAGGTACACCGCAGCATGTTGCGTCTCATGGCACTTGATAGACTTTAACAAGAATCGCTGTGTTCTCACTTGCTTTATACAGGCACACTTCTGATATTACTAATTCACCATGGATGCCATATAGGAAAGGAATGAAAACTCAACCCTAATTCAGCACAGATATAGTGATGGTCATGCACACATGCACTAGTTAGAGTTTTGGTTTATTATTTCAAGTTCTGCGCATACTTTGGGCACTTTCATGTACTGCATATGTAGTGCCCTGACTACGTTATTCCTTTTCTGTTGAAGAATATAGTTTAAAATAAGCCATTACCTAAATCATGAAATAGCTCTGTAAGCTTTACTTTGCATTTGATTATTTTTCCTACGCATGCATTAAAGAAATTCTTGCTGAATTAGTCATTCAGTATTACAAAGTTAAGCTCGACCCATCTGTATCTTGCTGCCTTGTTCTGCATTTTACAAATATTATTTTATAACTCATTTGTTTACATTTTTAGTAGACTTGCTCAACATGGCTGATGTTTACTGCATAATTGCAACTGCGGATATTTACTAGAACATCACATCAATGACATTCTCGTATAATATTTTGCTTTTTTTTTTAGAAACTTGCATGATAGGGTGTGAAGTTTTATATGCATTATTTACATTCTTTTGAAGATTCTTGTGATTTACTGCTAAGAAAGCCAAAGTTGCTGTTTTTTCTTCTTATTTTTAATTGGTCAGCAACAAAAGCATAGGAACATATGTGAGCAGGTTTAGAATTATCTGGATGGTCATGGCACAAGTTTAGTATTCTGTGCTAATAGAATTATGGGTTTTTTGATTTCCCAGTTCAGTTGGTGTTTGGATTGGGTACACTGAAGACGAAGATGGAAAGGTTAATTAAAAAATTTACCTGGAGATGAAAGTTAGGTTGTAAGTTTGTGTGTGTAGTTTACAGATTGTTGGAAAGAAACTATTAGTGTCTAGATTTTAGACAAAAATTTGATGCATTTAATTTCGGTACAAGGAACTAAAGAAGTTAGCTATAATTTCAAATGAATTTTGTTTGGGGAATATTATTTATTGTATTTGAGGTGCTTAACCCATGTGGGTCATTCAACATAATCAGGTGCACAGTCCTCCATCCACTAACTGTAAACTAGTTTGTCTAGTTAAGGTGTTTGACAGTTAGGGTTGTAAATAATAGTGTAGATTCTTAGTATTTCCTGATGTCAAAATTGAGCAAAAGTTTAAAAAGGGAAAACTTGTGTCTTGTTGCATCTGTTTCGTACCACTAAGGTTAGCAGGATGGTTTTACTAGATTCAGAATGAAAGAATTATAGTAAAGAACAAATAATTGAAATAATCTTATTCTGTCTGGGCAGGGAAGAGTGCCTAGAGGGGTATATAAATTATTAGAAAAATTACAGCAGTGTATTGAACATACAATTTTTTTTTTTTTTTTTTTTTTTTTTTTTTTTTTTTTTGTTTTTTTTTTTTTTTGAGGGGGGGGGGGGGGGGTTAATGATCATTTGAAATATAAACAATAGTGTATTCTGTAATAGCCTGGAAAGGTTTCCAGAAGGGTGTAATTTCCCTGACTATTGGTAAAGTTAGCTGTTAGGTAACACTAGTTGCATTCATGAAGACACTGTGTAAACTGAACTGATGAACATATGGAAAAAAAAAAGGGGTTATGGTCATTAGACTCTCCTAAGAAACCCAAAAAAATTTTGTATAGGTCTCAAAATTATAAAATAATTATAAAATAATTGTAGGTCAGAGTGGTAATGTGCATCAGTCAAAGATCCCATATCCACATCTCTGCAAGCAGAGGTGTCTTGTTCAGTTGTCCAACTTGTTGCAACTGTATGGGGGTTATGAAAGTGGAGTCACGGTAGTTGGGTTGTACACAGGAGGGGTTAGAGTGGTTTGGGTCAGAGGGTTCAGTGGGGGGGACAAAGCAATGGATAGATGGGGGCAGGAGCTGGAGGCTGGTGTTGGGTGGTGGAGAAGGCTGGGGGTGGAGGGGAGTGTGGCATGTAGGCTAGAAGCAATGAGGTGGTGTGATGGTGACCATGTAGGTGGCAGTGTCAGTGGCCCAGTGTGGGTGGCATAAATGGGTGACTGGGTGGGTGAGTGTGCAGTTGGTGTGGGCAGTGATGAGGATAAAAAACCAATTAAGGTGTGGGCATCAGGTTGTGGGAAAATGGTGCAGGTGAGGGCATGGGGCTGGACAAGGTGTGATCTTAAGGTAGTGGAGTAATGTGGCCAGTGGGGAAGGTGTAGCTGTAGGCTTGTATCTATGGGGGGGGGGAGAGTGTTTGGGCAGGTTGTGGTGGTGAAGGCTGCTGGTTGGGATAGTGTGGGTGAAGGTGTGTGGCCATGGGAGACTATATACATTTGTCATTCTTTTCAAGAGGTCACACCCTGGATTACCCATTGTGAGAGTTGATGCCTCATTTAGGCCATTGGCTTGTGCCTTCTCCAACATATGTATCACTTAAACTTTTCTATTATCGCAATTTTCTTACAAACGCCACACCTTTCATACTTATGCTTCCCTGCAGTTCCAGGAGTACTTATATTCCGTTCACATGCCATGGTTACTATCCAGAGATGGGATGGGATGGGTGTATGAAAATATAAAAAATCAATTCATTAACACAGGCCAAGTATGGTATTGGATGTGTACTAACAAAACACTAGGTAAGGGAGGTTGTGTACAACATGTAGGCTTCCCCCAGAAGACAGTGAACTCACTGTGAGATGAAGTATAAAGAATGCAGCATGTGCTACAGCTTCCCTTATATGTACTACACCATGTAAACTGATTTTTACTGCGTGTTCACCAAAAATATACTGCAGTTTTGCATCCATGCTATAATGAAAATGTCGTAACAGAACATGTATTATCTGATGATCTACTGTAGTTAATTTCAGGTTAGTTAAAAGTTTTGAACAGATAGTGAGGATATAGCAAATACTTTATTTTCTTCCATTATTTAATGTGTATAGAGAAGCAGTTTGATAATTAGAGTTTAATAACAGTATACAGAAATCAAGTGGGACTTGTTGGTAGGAGGCTGAAGATAAGCATGATGCTGCTAAAATGTTTGGCCATGTTTTAACATTGATTCATGTGCAAAATGTTTAATTTGTTGCATTGCTTTTTGAAGAGGGGTAATGAAACTCTTTAATTTGTGGTTTAAGAAAAATTTATAGCTGTGGTTGAGAGTACTGTACATTACTTAAATTTGTAGGTTTTTTACATTCCTGCACACATTACTTTTAACTCTTAAATTGTGCAAGGTGGGAAATCTTGCCACCTCTGTGGTGGGTAATTTTATTTTTTTAATGCTATTACATAAAATAGTTTGGGCAAATTAACAGAAAATATGAACACATTGTCTGTGAAAGAAATATCTTGTGAGCCTCAGGTTTAGTGACAGGTCAATGAAATTTAACAGCATTCAATTTTTTTTTACGACATTGGTAGTTTTCCCAGCAAGGTAGGGTGAACCAGAGGAGGAAACACATTCACTGTTGTCCATTCAATAGCTGTCTTGCCAGAAGTGTGTGTGTCGATCACACATTCAAATGACCCTTTAGACCGCAACCTCTGCACTCATTGTGCTTACCAACTCCAGAACTCCAAGTTACAAATATTTATATATGGTACCTGTATAGTCAGACATTGATGTAAGGATGGAAAGGTCAGAAATTGATGTGAGGTGTGAATATTATGTAAGGAATGTGAAGTGAAGAAATTAGAAAATTGTAGTGATAAAAAGAGCATATATAATTAAGGGAACAAAACAGTGGTGGTTGAGATGTTTTCTGGTTATTTATAAAGAATGGATTAAGATAAGTTTACCAAGGGGGTGTATAACTCTAGGGTGCAAAGAGCATCACATGCCTTTTTGAATGGACTTTGTTCCATAATCTTTTAACATTAAGAAAAGGCAGTCCAGGCTTTTAATATTTCAAGTCACCTGCCAAGGTAGGGTGACCTGGAAAAAAAGAAACACTTTCACCTCATTCAATCAATCATTGTCTTGCTAGATGCATGCTGATACTACAGTTCAGATGCCTCTCCAGAGTGAAAATATAATAACCCCTACCCCTCCTTCAGAGTGCAGGCACTGTACTACCCATCTCCTAGTCTTGAGTCTGGCTAAGCAGTTTCCCTGAATCCCTTCACAAATGTTACCTTGCTCACACTCCAACAGATGGTCAAGTCCCAAAAACTGTTTGTTTCCACTCACCCCTATCTAACACTGGATGTCCAAGACCCTCACATACACAACCTCAATTTTTGAAAGAATATGTATACAACAAATGTTCTTCAAAACGCAAGATAATAAATGCTGTGCTGTTTAATACATGCAATATAGTACATGTGATATTAACTAAATATTTGAAAGCTACATACTGTTATTTTCTGGAGAAATGCTTGTATTGAGCATTGAGTGCTAATTGTGCAAGGAATGTTGTGATCAGTTGGGGTTGGGGTGGTGGCAGCAGCAGACATAATTCTTAGTGTGACGTGAAATTGGTAGTTTCATATACATGTAACTACATACAAAAAATTTAAATAGGTTTTTAAGAATGTGTAACTGTTACATTAGTTTTGAACATAAAATAAAGAAGGAATATGCTGGAAAAGGTAGAGAAAAGGCAATTTTTGGCAGATTTGACAATGTATTGGAATGTGGAAGTTATTAACTCTTAAAGAGTTTTTATGATATAGCCAGGTTAGCGGACTAGAAGAGAGGGAAATACATTCCCTATAAATGGGCTTAGACAGGGATGTTGGGGAAGAGACTCATTTGAATATATGTCAATGGGCTTGTGGAAAAATGCTATTGTTTAAGGATGGTGAAAATTGGGATCAATTCAAAGAATGACACAGTTACTTTTTGCTGATGATACTGTGCTATGGAGATTTAAAGAAAAATGCAAGGTTATGGATGTTTTGGGGAAGTGTGTAAAGGTAGAAAGTTTTTAAAGTGAACATAGAAAAGAGTAAGGTATGAGGTGTCAAATGATTTAGATAAAGAAAAATGGAACAAATTGGGGAGGGGAGATGGGAAAAAGTAAAGTTTTCAGATACTTGGGAGTTGACGTTCGGGGGATGGGATTTAAGAAAATGAGGTTAATCAAGATTTTTATGAGGGGAAAAAAAGGTGAGTGGTGCGTTTAGGGATATGTGGGGTCAAAAAACGTTACAAGGCAAAGAAGGGGAAAGATGAAAATATAGTATACCAACACTCTTTTATGGGGGTTTAACTTGGGGGTAAATGCAGCAGCGAGGAACGGTTGGAGGGAGGGGGATTTCCTGTTTTTAAGGGGAAAGGGGTTAAATATTATGCAGAAAATTTGGAGTGTGGAAATTAGGAAAGGGTGGATTAAAAAAAGTATTATCAAGGCAGAAAGGGGGTTTTTTGAGGGGTTTGGGGCTTTTGAGAGAATGGATCACAGTAAATGACATGGGAAACATATAAAACTATAGGGGAAAGGGAAAGGGGGTAGGGGGCTCCTCGAAAAGGGGTTGGGGAAAAGGGGGTAAAGGGGGTTTTGGGGGGGTAAGGGGGTTGGACTTCCAGCAAGCGTGCGTGCGTGTTTGTAGGATGAATGGAGACGAAGGTATTGGGGCCTGACGACTTGGGGGTGTGAGCAGGGGAATATTAGTGAAGGGATTCAGGAAAACCGGGTTTTTTTTCATAAGTCGGACTTGAGTCCTGAAATGGGGAAATACAATGCCTGCACTTTTTAAAAGGGGGGGTTTTGGGATATGGCAGTTTTTAGGGATATGTTGTTACTTTATATTTTATGCTTCTAGACTGTTGTATTCTGAGCACCTCTGCAAAAACAGTGATAATGTGCGAGTGTGGTGAAAGTGTTGAATGATGATGAAAGTATTTTTCTTTTGGGGATTTTCTTTCTTTTTTGGGTCACCCTGCCTCGGTGGGAGACGGCCGACTTGTTGAAAAAAAAAAAAAAAAAAAAAAAACAATACAAAATAAATATTTTTTAAGATGTAACTGCTGTACTATAGTTTTTCAACATAAATGAAAAGCTGAGAGTAGAGAAAAGCAATTTGTGGGAGTTGACATGCTGTTGGAATGTGAGCATGGTAACTCTTATGAAGGGATTCATATAACCTGGTTAGCCAGACTAGAGTTCTAGAGATGGGAAATACAGTGCCCTTATAGAATGATTAGTGGGGATGTTGGGGTTTAGAGAGTCATTTGAATCATGATGTCCATGGACTTCTGGCAAGACTGCTATTGAATTTAATGATGGTGACTGTGTTTCAGCCTGCCTCAGTGGTATATTGCCGGTTCGTTGAAAGAAAGAAGATTGTGTTTCTCCTTTGGTTCACCCTGTGTTGGTGGGAAAGAGCTGATGTGATAAGAGATTGTAATTCTCTTAATGATTATAGTGTACCTCATGTAATTCACCTGTATTTCTAAAGGGGAATTGCAGATGTTGTAAGCTACATTGCAAGTTAAAAAAATTGTCTGCTGTTTGTTGATCTTTAGAGATCTCTACTTGTTTCAGTGTTCTGGCCAAGTGGTTTCCCACTTCATTGATCAGTGTTTACACTTTAATCCAAGTATTGTTTATAAACTGAAAAATAGCATCAGTCATGTTGTTCAAGTTTTTATGAAACCTTTAAAAAGGATTTCTTGTTATTTTTGTACCTTTTTCTTTTTTTACATTGCTTATGTTTAAAGTTTTACAGAAAATTTTTAAGTTTATCCCTCTGATGCCCTAACCTGAGCACTTTGAAGCTAGCATATACACCTTACCATGTTGTGTTGACACCTGCAGAAAAAGATCCTAGAGGGAGAACGCAATGACCTCCAAGCCATGATTGAGGCCGAGCAAGAAGAGGTAATGAGAGATGATTTCACATTTTTATTTCTGCAGTAAAGCAGGAAAGCTCACTTAACCGTTTAGTTTGTAATACATAAGCTGACTTAACATAATCTTAATCTCTAATTATTATGTTCTTTGTATAATCTGAGTAGTTAGGTTTTCTGCACATCTTGGGCTGTGAAGTTGTTTTTATATGCTCTAAACAAATTTTTATTAACTTTCCTGTTTTGCCAGAAACATAATGCATTTAAATGTTTTAAACATTTTATTGTTTGCATACATCTTTGTGTATTTTGAGAATCCTGTATTGTTGTACTATTTATTTAAAGGTTTTGTTTTGGGTTGTTCTTTGGTAATGTTTTGACATGACAACTAAAATTTTCTTTGTTGCAGTGACACAGATGGAAAATTGTAATTTGCCATATACTAGTATTGTCTGCAAAGGATGATACAATAATTTGTCTGTGCTAGATAGGAACATGAGAAAGTGAATTGGGATGAATTCTCTGCTGTGAGGAATGTGTCTTTTCATTGTGGAAGCCTCTACTTTTACTTGCATTTTGAGGTCTGATTTGCAGTGTTAATGAGTCCTCTGCCCTCTTTTTGAATTATTCCTATAAATTTTTTGTGATTGCTTAACTACTGTTTTTAGTGACTGGGATGATGTCTGTCTAGAATGTCTCCCTTTAATATATTCAAGGGATGTGATTGTGTTTTTTGCCAATTCTAATAATGGTACTTCCACATATCTGGCCTGGGGCACAGTGCATGAGCATGCTTTCAGTGAATTGAAGTCAATTGGGGGTTGTCAATCTTTAATCTGTTAACAGCTCACTGAACATAATGTCATATTGTAACTTCAGCATTGATTAATTTTTTTTGTCATCATCAGTGAAAATTTCCTCTTCCTTAAGCAAGGGCCCAATACTAGAGGTGGTTTTGTCTTGGTCTGATATAAGGCATATTGGGTATTACTTTTAATTTTACGGATTGTTTTTCCTCTCTTGCTTTTAGGCTTTGTAGGATGTCTTTAGTTTTAGCTTGGCATTTTCTGTTTCTCTGACCAATATTTTCTTGTGAAAATTAGGAACCATGTTGAAGTTATGCAGTTTTTTGTAGAAGGAACATCTTTATCATTCTAACTTGATTTTTTTTTTCCAACAGTATATAAATCTGGAGTGCACTTCTAGTGCCATTGAGCTGATTTGCTTGACACACTGCTTAAGATTCATGCTACTTGCACTGTCTTTACAGCATATTTCATTAAGATCATGGTGTATTTGTTTTTTAATACATCTGTCGTCTCTCACAGAGGCAGGGTGACACAGAAAAGAAGAAACAAAAGTTTTCCTTACTTTTATTCTTGGTAACTTAAACAGGAGAGGGGATTACTAGCCCCTTTCTTATAGCATTTTAGTTGTGTCTTATGACAAGCAGGGCTTTTGGAGGAAGGATTCTTCCCCATTTTCCCATGGAGATTATGTATTTCTTGCCATTTAGCCCTTTGAGGGTTTCGGCCGTACTAGTACGGTTTACGACCCAGGGTTTTTGACGTACTGGTATGCCTAAATTCTAGCGCCCTCAAATCTAGTGGGAGAAAGCTGGTAGGCATACATATGAAAGAATGGGTCTATGTGGTCAGTGTGCGCAGTATAAAAAAAAATCCTGCAGCACAGTGCATAATGAGAAAAAAAAACTTTGACTGTGTTTTTGGAATAAAACAGCGGCTTTGCACTGTATTTTCGTATGGTATTTATTGTTGTATTCTAGTTTTCTTGGTCTCATTTTATAGAATGGAAGATGAATTACAGAAATTGAGATGATTTTGACTGGTTTTACAATGAAAAGTACCTTGAAATTGAGCTCAAAGTAGCAGAAATGTTCGATTTTTACCAAAGTTCAAAAGTAAACAAATCATGCCAAGCGTCCAATACACGTCAACTGATGAGTCTAATATTCTTTCACAAGTGCGCTGATATTATTTATACCATTTCTACACTAATGCAGCAGTCTGCATAACAGTAAATCTTCTATTTTTTTGTAAGAATAAAAATTGAAAGTGGAAAGCCAAAGAGGGGCCTGGGGATGTGACTAACGAACAGTGGAAATGTTATTTTAGTGCCAGGAATGTCTTGTTTATTCTGGACCCTATTTGGAAATTGGCATCTTTTAAAATTTGTGTGAAATTGGCAAAATTGCTAAATTCTGACCACTGTATTGGATAGTTGAAATTGGTAAATGGGTGGTTTCTTGTACTCATTCAATAGAAAAAATGGAGTTCTAGAGAAATAGTTATGATTTTTGTCGACTAGTACACTGGAATTGGCCAAAAATAGGGCTCAAAGTGGGCATAATCGCCGATGCGTAAACATAGTTGAGACCGCTAACTTTGCGAGAGCATAATTCCGTAAGTTTCCATCAAATTTCATACTTTTGGTGTCATTAAGATCGGGAAAAGATTCTCTATCTTTTCATAAGAAAAAATAATTATTTTTTTTTAAATTTGGCCGACCCTGAGAAGTCTCGGAGAGGGCCTGTCGACCCTCAGAGGGTTAATATAATTATTGAAAGACACCTTTCAAGACCTGTTGAAAGAGATCTGAATGTCTATTTTGGTTGTGGTCTGAGTTTGATGTTTGACTTGACATTTTCTGTACCAGATCATCACTGTTTGTAAATGTAAGGTCAAGGGTAGTTACCAATATGGCTGGTTTTTCTGTTTACTGGCTTAAGCACATTGAAGGTTTTGGACTCGGGTAGGATTGCAGGTGCTTCCTTTGTTTCATGAAGAAGTAAGACGGCAGGTATATGTTACAGTTGTAAATATCTGTTTACACTTTTGCGTGAGCGTGTTAGTGAATGGAGACGAATGGTTTTTGGGACCTGACGAGCTGTTGGAGTGTGAGCAGGGTAATATTTAGTGAAGGGATGCGGGGAAACCGGTTATTTTTATATAGCTGGACTTGAGTACTGGAAATGGGAAGTACAAAGCCTGCACTTTAAAGGAGGGGTTTGGGATATTGGCAGTTTGGAGGGATATGTTGTGTATCTTTATATGTGTATGCTTCTAGACTGTTGTATTCTGAGCACCTCTGCAAAAACAGTGATAATGTGTGAGTGTGGTGAAAGTGTTGAATGATGATGAAAGCATTTTCTTTTTGGGGATTTTCTTTCTTTTTTGGGTCACCCTGCCTCGGTGGGAGACGGCCGACTTGTTGAAAAAAAAAAAAATACATGTAAAATAACATTTTTACTTACCTTTATTGAAGATTGGTGATGGCATTTGGAAGATAGGGAGGAGGAGAGAGGGAGTTAGGGTTAGTGTTTGGAAGGAGAATCCCCCTCCATGAGGACTTTAGGTAAAGCCCTCTCTGGGGTTACATCCCTTCTCTGTCTTTTAATGCCACTAGGACCAGCTTGAGAGTCACTGGACCCCTGTCTCACAAAATAACTGTCCACAGTCCTTTGTTTCTGGTGCCTCTTTAACATTTCCCTAAAATGGGACATGGTTCTGTCACTGAACTTGTTGCAAAGATGGCTTGTTTCAGCTTGCTCAGGGTGGTACTTCTGCACAAACATTTGGACATCATTCCACTTGGCACAAATCTCCTTAATCTTTGAAGAAGGCATCTCATCCACTCCCTATATTATCACCTTTCACAACATCAGCTTCCTTGATTTGTTCTTTCTTTGACAGGATAGAACCGATGGTCGACTTGTTTTTCCCATACATCCTGGCAAGCTTAACAAGTCTCACACCACTCTCATACTTCTGTATTATTTTCTTCTTCGCATCTATGGTGTTTCTCACTTTCTTTACCACAGGGGTACCACTAGCAAGTTTCTTTGGGCCCATGGCAGCTTATTTCACAGTCCCACAAGCACTAAACACAACGAAACAATCGTAAAATGCGTGAATGAGAGCGCAGGTTAGTGTTCACTCAAGAATAAACAAAGCTAGACTGCTCACGGTGCCTGCGCGGGGTCGCGGACAGAGCGGGCGGCAGACAGGTCCCGTACCCGGCGGTTCGAAAATAGGGGCGCGTTCGATAATAGGGATACAGTTTGTTCGAAAAAATGGTCCTATTTTCAAAACGTTCGATATGTGATACGTTCGATTTTTGAGGTTCCACTGTATGCTTCTAAAGGAAGTGGAACAGAATTCTTCCTCCGTAAGCCATGCGTGTTGTAAGAGGCGACTTAAATGCCGGGAGCAAGGGCCTAGTAACCCCTTCTCCTGTATAAATTACTAAATTTAAAAAGAGAAACTTTCGTTTTTCTTTTTGGGCCACCCTGCCTTGGTGGGATACGGCCGGTTTGTTGAAAAAAAAAAAAAAAAAAAGGCTCCTAAACTATTGTATCTGGGCACCTTTGCAAAGACGGTGATTATGTATGAGTTAGGTGAAAGTGTTGAATGATGATGAAAGTATTTTTTTTGGGGGGGATTTTCTTTATTTTTGAGGCACCCTGCCTCAATGGGAGACAGCCAACTTGTTGAAAAAAAAAAATTACCATGTACATTCCTCTTCATTTCTTAATGGTTTTTATTCCAGTAACATTTGCTTTCAAGTTTAGGAATCTGGGTCCCAGTCTGGGCCATGGGGGAGATAATCCCAGAATCATCAACAGATATATAACTTGCCTCGATAGTTCTTTTGTATAAGGCTGTTCTCTACATTGCATCATAGGACTTTTTGTGCTGTTTTAGCATTTGATTCAGTGTTCCATTTTAGGTGCTATAAATTAAAATCACTAATCATGGTAATATTTGGAGCCAGATTTGTAAATTTTTTCAAGGTAATGTTTGATTTTCATTTTCATTAGCTATTCTTTGAACAGCTAGGAATCTGCTCAATATTTGGTGGTGTGTATGCAATGGTTTAATTCAGAATTTAAATTTTCATTACCCAAATTTTAATTACATTTGTTGTTAAAAGAAATTTAAGTACTCACAAATTTATTTTCCTAAAAATTAAGTGCTTATTAATTTATTATTTTCAAAATTAGACATTTTG